TTGTGCATGGCCAAGGCTGGGGACCAATTGGCTGGTGGACCCATGTCGGCCCGGCTATGTTGACTCCCCAGCGGGGTGGCCACCCTAGGGATGACCTCCTGCCTGGGGGTAGTTCTGCTCGACTCGCTATGTCAAGTACTCCAGGCAGTCGAGCACGGCCTGGAACTGTTCATTGGTGACAAGATTTTGTGTATTTCTTGTTCTTCGTACCATGTTGGTTGGTTGGAGCTTGGGGACTCGTTAGCTTGTTAAAGTTCTTCTAGGGAACGTCCTAGCGATGTTTCCCATAGATAGTGCCAATTGTTGATGCTAGAGATGGCCAAGGAGTACAAAGTAATTTCCCCCTAGACTCCGAAGGCTTCAAGGGTTCAGGGAGCTTGTTGCTGAAGTCGAGGTATGCAGGCTGAGGCAAAGCGGGCTCCGAGTACTGTAGAAGCCGAGGGCATGTGGCCAAGGTGATGCAAGGCAGAATGCATCAGAGGCCCCGGGTGAGAACCTAAGGCAAAGTCTCCAACAGTCAAGTTAGTACAGGGTGTGAAGAGGGAAATTAGAATGTAGCTTTTGAGATTAGTTCCAAGTCCAGATGTAGATTATATTCCATCCCCCTTACTTGAGCTGCTTGGAGGTAGGTGGAGATGAATGCTTGAGACGGAAGTCGTATGAGGGCAGTCAGAGTGCTCTATGGGGATGTGTGGGCACTCTACAATTGGCTCCGTACGAGGGGAATAGAGTAACCTCTGTTGTAGCGGATCTCATTCCCAGGTCTCATGCTCGTGGGTTGGGCCTCCCAGCCTCAAATGGGTTGGGTTAGGCCGCCCCACATCAAATTCCATTCCATTTTATTCTAATTCCTACCTAAACCAAATAGACTATGGAAATAGACTATTTCGGTTCTGATTTCGAGGGATTGCAACTCTAGTCTTGAATAAACCTCCCCAAATGTTTCAAACAAAGATTAATTTCTCTCAAAGGCTTTGGATTTTAATTGGATAGGATGGAGTTAAAATATTAATTGGATGTAAATTTTAACACCCAAACATGGGGTAATCGAATTTGGAGTTTTGGAATCATTTGACTGCCCTACTTGCCCTACTTGCCCTACTTGGATTGCATTTGCATGAATCCAACAAAAAAAAAGGCAGATAGGGTTGAAGTTCAACTTGGGTTTAGGGTTGTAAAATATTAACCTGACTTAGCTTAGATTGAGATTTTGGCCAATCTAGGCCAACATGTCTCCATACTTCTATGTATAAATATTATATGTATTTGTATATATACATGCATGGAAGTAATCCTGTTTTCATGAATACAACCGATTGAAGTTAAACATTATCTGGTGTGACAAAATAAAATATGGTAATACTAAAGCACCATAACTTTGTCCTTATAATGCCAAAATCAAGGAACCTTAATCTAATCTTAAATTGAAGAAATAGAAATATCAATCTCGATATCTAACTATCTATATACTACTACTATTACTACTACTACTAAAATTACAAATAAGCTTGTGAATTTTTTTTTTGCCTAAAATACCTCCCGTTTTTTAATTTGGTTTATCTCTAATTGTAAGGGTAGCAAATATTATTTGAATTACTACTTTTCACCTCATTTAATTCTCTCTCATTAAATCTTACATTTGAAATATTAAGAGAAATAAAAACACAAATTTGGGCACATACATCCTTCATATTATATATCCATCATATTAAACAAAAATATATATGATAAATAAAAATAAATTTTACACATATAAAAATATAAAAAAATATAAAAAATTAAATACCTATTATTACTATCATCATCATCGTCTAAAAGTTACCATATGCCTAAATTCAACCTAGCCTGAAAAAAATTAGGTTGGATTAAGATTGCTCAACATGGGCACTCCAAAAACGTTCCTCGCAGTTAGAAGTAGCTGCATGCCCTCCCACACAAATGCATCCTCAGCTCATGCGACATCCCGTTAGCTCTAATTTTCTCCCTTCTTCGGTCATACTCTTAGAGTCTCAGTCTCTCACTCCTCTCGACCTGCCCTTTGAAACTCAGACCCTTGCACCTCCTCCCCCGTCCGATCTTGCCTAGAAATCTGACGTCGACGATTGTTCTGATAGATAATCAAAGATATTCTCGGTCCCTCTCATCTCATCTATTCTATCACATTGTTCGAATATGCTTTCTGAGTTTTTTTTGACTTTTTTTTTTTCTTTTTGCAACAGAAAAAATGAATAAGGGAAGGATCGTCAATGACCACTTGACCATTATACAGGTGTGGTTTTCTTCTTCTTTATATTTTTTTCTATTTGTACTTTCCCCCTGTTCTATGTTGCCGGATAGCAAATACCTCTGGTTGTCTCTTGGAACGATCGTTAGCGTCGGATTTCTCGACAAGATCAGATGGGGGAGGAGGTGCAAGGGCCTGAGTTTCAAAGGGCATATCGAGAGGAGTGAGTGAGTAAGAGACCAATAGCATGAGTGGAAAAGGGGTGGGGGGTCGAGTTTTGGGTGAAATTAGAGCCAATAGGACGTCTCAATAGCTGAGGGCACATGCGTGTGGGAGGACACGTGGACGCTTCTAACTGTGTGAGACGTTTTTCATACACCAACCAGAGGTAAGGGTGTCAATGGACCGGTTTTGGACTGGACTCCGTCCATTCTAAAATCAATTTGGACGGACCAAAAAGACATAATGGATTGGACCATTCCGGTCCAAAATATTTATTAGATTGGATTAGACCTGTTCCATCGGTAATAAATTTATATTGGATTAATCCAATATCCAGTCCATTGGTATAAGAAAAGAATATAGGTGTTAATGGACCGGATTTGGGTTGAAACCAATCTAAATTAAAATGAATTTGAACAAATTAGATGGTCCAAATATTGAATTGGATCGGTCCAAAATGGTCCAAATTATTCATTGGAATGGATTGGACCTAATCCATTTGTAATGGACTCACATTGGATTGGATCGGATTGGACCAAATCCAGTCCAATCGACACCCCTAATTGGAGGGTAGTCCAAATCACTTGCCCACGAGAACTCTGCCCATGCTTACCCACAATACACCCCCTCCCCCCTTGAATTAGGAACATCTCCCCCTGCATAATACTATACAAAGGATGAGATGTTCTCCATGTGTGGCTCCGATAAATGTGGATAAAGTTCTCGTGGGTAGGAGATCCGGACTCACCGGAGGGGTATAGATTCAAGCTCTCCAAAGATACCGTTGCCCACAACCCACAATAACTCTGCCCACATCTACCCCTATAACATCCCAGTCACAAATGGAAAACGTCTCATCTTCCAACATAATATTATGTAGGGAGAGATATTCCCAATGTACCGGATAGTATGTTATTATTCATAGGAGATGTTCTCAATGCACGATGGATGTACATGTGAGGCGCTATAATTATTGAAGATACCACCAAATGCACTAACGCAAGTGTTGAACCGTAGGTGGGCCCTGCTTGTCCCAAGAATATATGGAATTAGATGGAAATGTACTTCATTCATGAACTTGCCACTCAAATCATTGATCCATGTGACTCCTTTCGCCCCTCCCGAGTCCCACGACTTCTCATCCCTGCGATAGCCTTATAACTGTCACCTTATATTTTTCAAAAGACAAAACTACTCGCAGAAGCATAAGGGCATTTGATGTCTTTTGGATAACATGACATTGACCCAACCCAAGTGAAGCACTTAGCTTCAAAATACCCAAACTACCCTTATACGTCACCCACCCACTCATCTTCTGTCTTGGAGTAAACGCAATGCATCACCCCCTTAATTAATCCGGCACTCCACGTCTCACTTTCTGTCGTCTTGTATATTAATTTATCCAATCAATGGATCATAACACTCTCAAGCTACCATCTTAAAATAGTCCCAAACCTTTTACCGCCGTTGATCCAAGAACTAGCGGCCAATGCGGTAGATCGCCATGTAGTAGATAGATCAGCACAGAACAATCGGAAGAACCGGGTGTAGGTCGTAGACCGAATCATTTGATTGTACTTTTCGTTATCGTTGTTATCCAATAGAACAGAAGCTGAAATATCCACGGTGCGTACTGCGTAGTGCGCATCCCTCCGCTGAATTTTTAATTGGGTAAATATATATGGACCCCATTGTAAAATACTTCCTAACTTTGATTTGTGAATTATGATAAAGGCCTCCTACACTTTTTACTTGTGACAAATACCCTTTAGTCGTGAGATAACAGAATATTTTTAATTATTAAAATGCCTATCCATATTTTACTTATTTTATTGTTTTCATCATTTTCTCTTAAACCCTAATTCATAAAGAATATCTCCATTCCTCTAAATGAACCAGGTAAAATAACAATAACATTTCATTGACATAGAAAAAAAGTTTTTTCTTTAATCCTTGATTCATTTTACTGATATGAATGTCTCTTCTCATCTTAAACTATAGAAATTATCTACTCTTTTTTTAATAAATTAAGAAAAAGCAAATAAAACCATAAATTTATATCTATTACAAGAAACTTTTATCATTCCATTTAAATATTAGTTGAATCCAATCACAAATCTACAAGGATCTATTGAATTAATTAGGAGGATTTCAATGCTATATTTAGAAAATTAATTAAATCATAAATTGTTCAACTAAATAAAAAAAATGATAATTTAGGCTCAGTTTAGAAGGAGTGCAAATACAAATATATACAGTACAAATCCTTGTATTTTGTATTTCTAAACCGATATTTGCACTGTACATATTTGTATTTGCATTCCTTTCAAACTGAGCATTAGGGTTTTAAAAATTTTAAACAGCTGAATGAATTTTTTTAAAATTAAACTGACGAAACTTTAACGAAGGGTTTATTTGTGGCAAAGTGAAAACTTAGGGGGTTTTATTGCAAATGAAATTTCTGATTAATGGCTTGGCCGGGCCCACGATAAAAAAAAAAAAAAATGAAAATTTGCGTCTTGGGTGAGTCTTTGCTCTTCAGTCTTCCCCATGCCACAAGCGAAAGCGAGAGATGCGTAAAACGCTGTCTGCGTGATAATTTCCGGCTTTATCCAGGAAGCAAGACACCTGTGGTCGTGCTATGCCTTAAATATGATCTCTCAACGTTGAAACTTGTAGTCTAAGCACACTCTCCCTCCCTTCCTCTCTTCTCTCTCTCTTAAATACACATCTCCTGCAGAATAACAATCATTAGATCTTTTTTGAGGTAATTTATCGATTTTTCTTAAGCTCCATAGTCAAATTATGTCAACGAATTTCATCTGTGGATGGTTCTTTGTGAAGTTTTGGTTTTCATTTATCAGTTGGAGACTTGGAGTCTTTAGAAGGGTCTGTTTGATTGAAATTCGTGGTTGCTCGATTGTTGATCTTGTTGATGTTCTGCATTATGCATGTTTTCAATGATTGAAATTCGTGGTTGCTTGATTGTAAATGCTGAAGTCTGCATGTTTTCTGCATGAAAGTTATGACAGTTAGAAGGGTCTGTTTGATTTGTTTATGTGATTATTTTGAAACAATGAGAAATTTGGATATTTACGCTTGATAGGCATAATCAGGTTCTGGGTTAGACAAGTTTCTTGGAGACAGTTCATAAAGAGTCTAACTTTGAGAATAGATTGTTACGAAAATTCGTTGGGGTTCTGTATTTAGGCGTAACTGATTACTTGATAAGCTTTTCTATGCGTTCTTCTTTCTGCTTTGTTTTGTTCTGGGTCAGGAAACAGAGGAAAATGTATTAGGTGGAACTTATATTGCTTTTGTAATGTGGGAAAAGGATTTGTTACAGCTGAATTTGCTTCTGTGTTTATGCTTCATCGTTGGGGTTCTATATTTTGGCGTAACTGATTACTTGATAAGCTTTTCTATGCGCTCTTCTTTCTGCTTTGTTTTGTTTTGGGTCAGGAAACAGAGGAAAATGGATTAGATGGAACTCATGTTGCTTTTGTAATGTGGACAAAGGATTTGTTACAGCTGAATTTGCTTCTGTATTTATGCTTCATCAGGTCCCGAGTAGGTTGAATGTGGTAAGGAAGCCATGGGATCTTGCAAGGGACGTCTCTGTTTTCTGTTATACGTTATCCTTGGGCTGTGTGGATTGTACAAGAGCTTTGTTGTTGGAGCAGATACAAATCAGACTGCGCAATTGTTTGTAAATGCTTCTCAAGAATTATGGAGGATCCCAGAAACACTGTTTGGGATATTCTTTGAGGTGAATCGTTGACCTTTGCTTATGGAGTTTCATTAATTCTGGTTTGCTTCTGTTTGTTGTTATTGATGTTGTTTTTTATGTATCAGTATTTCCATCACTATTATTGTTGTTATTTGTTATTACTATTACTGTAAGGATTCATATTCTGTTCTTTTGAGCATTGTAGCTTGCAATTTCTTTCTTGTTTTTCATGGAAGTACTGACAATTTTCCTCGTGTATTTTTTTTTTTTTTTTATATGTATATGGCCTTTGAAGTTGATCATGTTGTGACTTCAATTGGATTTGCAGTAGTGCATTAGAGAGATTTTCTTGTATTGCTCTTTTTGTTCTTGGTGCTTAGTCATCTAGTAGTTTTTATTTGTCATGTAGAGTTGTAGAAGTGCATTTGGTAAATGACTCTAGATTTTTGTGGACCCATCTGAATGAGGTTATGGAGAAGAGCTCCTGTATTATTTTCTTACTGTTCCTTGATGAAATATTGTAGCTATACTATGTCTAGATGTTTCTACAAGTAAAAAAATTTCATGATGCATATATTATCTCATGAAGTTTGGTGTCAATATGCTTCCCTTGGTTTATCTATCAAAAAAAAAACAAAAGCTTTCCTTGGTTTCTGGAGAATGAGCTTCTTTCTGAAATGCTTTCATGCAGGAGATCAACCATGCTGGGGCTGGTGGTATATGGGCAGAGCTTGTGAGCAACCGAGGTCACTTCCATATACTCTTGATTCTTACCATATAGCACTATTTTTTTATCAACAGCATATGAAATGTTTTGGATAGGGCTGTTCATAAGAAGACCCAACCCGACCAAACTGACCAACCCGGACCGACCCAACCCAAGTCGGCTGGGTTTTCTTCAGCACCGGTCGGTTTTGGGTTGTAAAAAATCATAAACCAATGGTTCGGGTCGGTTTCGGTTTTCATGTGTGAAAACCGAAACCGACCCAAACCGAACCGACTTAGTAGTTAGTAGTTAGTTCCTAGTTAGTAGTTACAACCTACTTANTTCCWAHTTAAYTAARTTGTCTCTATYMTAGTTACAACCTAACTTAATTTCTAGTCTTCTAGTTAGGAATGACATTAATGGCAAGTATTGTAAGACAACTAGACAAGGAATTCTTTTGGAAAAGTTTA